TTCATAGAATCATAGAATCAGAATGGTTTGGGTTGCAACACAACTTAAACATCATCTAATGATGATCTATTAAAAACACTAAAGAAATACTAAGATACATTATTAAAACTAGAATAACTGTTAAATGGTTCTATGGCTTTAATTTCCATCTCTTTACTTATTTTAAAAGATGCTATCTTAAAAATGCACTGGTAGTTCCCACAATGAGAGTGCCAATGTTTATGTTTAATTAGGAGAATATTCCGTAAACATACACGTTGCCTATCACAACATACCTGTTCTATTTAAACTAAAAAAAAAATTGTACATTTATATATTTATCACTTATTTTTGATCTGACTACCCTAAATCCTTTGCAAATATTTAAGAGCAAATTCAGAGTGCTTTCACCTATAGATTCCACTCTTAAGGGCTGATGTCAAAAACTCAGATAACTAATATTGAGAATTTATATCCTTTATGATTTCAGTATCAACTCTTTCTGAACTTTAAGCCTCAGACTTCATGGAGATCTAACATCCAAAATATTTGAAGAAGATGCAGACATTTCATCAGCTCAACTGCTTTCTAGGTTTTGCTAGTTATAAGCAACTAGTTACTGGAGATGAAATACACACAAAGATCTTAAGTTTAGATGACTTTGAATCTGGATTCCAACACGAAAGCCCATTGATTTAGCATGAAACCTTCTGAAATCACACAAAAAGGAAAACATTGGCCTATGTCTTAATCCTGGCATCTTACTCATGACTGTAGTAAGATCCATCCATCTATGGATGGATGCATCCATTCATATTCCAGAAGTGATGACATGTCTGTTCCTCCCCCTGCCATCCACCTGAAGACATACTTGTACTTTATTTCAGGACTAATTCATGTCTAATGAGGCATAACTACTCAGAGAAACAAAAGATCATGAAGAGGAGCAAATGCTGACTTTAAAGAAAAAGCCCTTTGTGGATTTTCTTAAATTTATTTTTCAAATAAAGAGGAACAAGAGTGCAATGTAAGTGACGAATAGATTTATATTAGTGGGTGTGTTTTTTCTTTAAGAGAAAAAAGAACCATGTCCAATTTCTCACTCTGCCTTTCAATATTCAAACTTACACTTCCTACCTGCCAAAAAATTGGAACTGTCTCTTAATCCACAGCAATTTGCATTGAGATGCTTTATAAACTGTAAAAGGAATTAAAATTACTACTGTTCTCCTTTTCCTCATCTGCTTGTCTTTACAAAGACATACAGTACCTACATTGCATCACGTTATAATCCACTTCTGCTGAGAATTTTTACTAAACATAGCTCCTGTGGCAAAACACATGGGTCACAAGAACTAGAGAAAGTTTTATGCTAACATTCAGGCTCATAGTTTTCAATTTGATATCTGTTTTCTTTTTCTCCTTTATAAATCCATATTCTTCTGATCTATTCATAGCATGCAGCTATACTATATTTCTTTATTAGACACTCAATTCTGGTGCCACTAAGCCAAATGCAAGAACTGTTAACACATTGTGCTTTCTCCTCATATCTTGGTTTGTCTAAGTTGCTACAGGATACTTTTTTCAGGGAAAATCTATAGCTATACAACAAGAAAAAGTTTCACTATCTTTCATTGCTCAATGGATATTTTCTAAGTCTGATAATGTTTTAATATTGCATGAGAAAACTATAGTTTAAAATGCACTACAGACAATCCTATTATTGCACTATAATACAAAGCTCAACTATCAAACCATGCATTCCCCATGTTATGAAGTACCTTCTTTTTACCTTATTTTCCAAAGCTTTCCCACAGAGTTATTTCTTGCTCTAGTCTGGACTAGAAATACTATTCCTTTTTAGAGAGACTTTCTCCATCTCAGTATCTACAATTGCTATTCTGTTTACTGTGATACTTGAATAAATATTGCTGTTCAAACAGTTGAATGTATGATACTGATAAAACAAACAAAAATAAAAAACTGTGGAAAAATATATCCAGTCAATTAAAAAAGTAATCAGACAATGCTGCTTCTAGTCCTCCAACAATCTTTTAAAGCTGCTATTTTAATTACATATACCTGAGGTTAGAAAAAATAAAATAGATTTATTAGAGATATTGATATAGAGACATCTTACAATTGCAGGTCCACCTAAGAAGAAACAAAGTTAGTTTTGAGGCATTCTATTATTAAATCTGAATTCTTCACTTCTCCAACTGAATTATTTAAGAGGCTATGGAGCTGACTTGCTTTATGTCAATTTATATGAGGTAGACAATGAACTATGCATTCAAACAGTCTAATTAAAGCAAACAGGATTACCCACCTGAGGAAAGCTTGGTACACATACAGTGCTTACAAAATTTAACATATAAAGCAGCAAAGTCCAAGGAAATAAAGCCCCAAAAATTCTAATAATATAAGCAATGGTTTGAAGAAGTACATTTTAAGTCATTTATATTCATATAATTCTATTTTAACCTGTGTTAGTAACAAGTCTCATCTATTCTTTTCATTACATTTTTTAGCTGGACCACAAAACGACAACTTAGGAAACCAATGGACGAATGACACAACTAGTTTGTGACAGGTCCTAACATGTTGGCACACACAGCTTTTGACCTGCACTTTTGCTAGAAATGAGCAGAAGAGCCTGCCTATCCAAGCTCCTCAACTGCACTGCTGCCCATAGGCTTTGGCATTGTTGCAGGGCGTGAACTGCGGGGGCTGGGGACGCTGTCTCCTCTCATACATCATCATTCTCCTAAGGGAGATTGTTCATTTCAAGCATCCATCAACAAGGGCCTAAAGATCTCTGAACTAGCCCACCCATCTGTATTAATGAAAGTTAAACATTGTACCACACTGCTGTGCATCGTGACCAACCAGCTTTGGTTTAACTCTGTAATAAACTGGTTAAGTCACTTCTATGTCTAGTCCAGGCAGACCATGTAAGTATCCATCCTGGACACTTCTCCATTCCAAAGTTCAGTCTGTAATACAGAAATACCTTGCATTTAATTTGTTCTTATGATAGCTCTCTTAGGTTTAGCTTTTCCAGTGTGTTGAGAAATTTCTATTTGTTTCTTGGGAGGGTTTTTTTTGTTGTGTTTGTTGTTTGTTTTTTTTTTGTTACAGGATGGTATGTTTGTTTGATTTGCAGATGGTGCAAGCTATCTTCACAAAGGTTATCCTGTCATTCCCCCCAAGCCCTAGAAGGCAGGTTGGATTTGCAACAACACGTTTCTTCAAGGTTTGCCAGTAATGGGATGAGGAAGTTCACAGCATCTGAAAACAGGCACTGGAGTCAGGAATCAATAACAAAAGGTCAGATCACAGCAAGCACATGAGAAACAGCTCTAGAATTTGTGCTTTCATGTAACATGAAATCCAATCCATTTGCTTTCACATCACCACCACTGCCTTAACCTTGTTTTCAGCAATCCATATCACTTCAAATTGTTTTCTGTCAAAGTCTGCAGCTCTCGTAAATCTATCACCTGCTGTGGCATTCATTGGAGTGAACACAAACATGTCCTGATGCACACTTGATTCTCACAAATGACAGGAAACTGTATTTTGGTGACTACTGTGTGAAGTGCAGGCCAGAATGAAACATCAGTGTTTAACAGCTAACCCTGTAACACCAACTGTGTATACATAATGTCGCTAAATGAAAAAAAATGAATGTGCTCAGTATACCCTTCCTTCAAAGTACTGGCTACTTATTCTGCCTGCACTGCAAAGCACAGACATTATTTTGTCAAATTCAGCCCAAGTTCCACACAGTTCCCCAAACTCCTACTGCCATATTTAAGACAACAATCGTGGAAATGACTCAAGCTGGAGAAATTAATGGAAAACTGCCTCCTGTGGGAGGGCCCCCAGGCTGGAGCAGAGGAAGAGCGTGAAGAGTCCTCCCCTGGAAGAGGAGGGAGTGGCAAGACAGTGTGTGACCAACAGACCACAGTTCCTGTTTCCAGTCCCCTGTACTGCTGGGGTGGATGGAGGAGAGCACAGGAAGAAGGGAGAAGGGTGAAGGAAGACACTTTAAGTTTTGGGTTTATTTCTCATTATCCTACTATGATATGCTTGGTAATAAATTCATTTTCCCCATGTCAAATCTGTTTTATCTGTGATGGTTATTGCTGAGTGATCTCTCCCTGTCCTTACCTTGACCTGTGAGCCTTTTGTTCTATTTTCTGTCCCCTGTCCAGATGAGGAGGGGAGTGGCAGGGTGGTTGTGGCTGGCTGGAGGCCAGTGTCAACCCACCACACCCAACACCACTGCACAGCCATTTAATGGTTCAGACTTCCTGGCATATTCCTCAAACAGAGCTTACTGAGCTCTTGCACTAACTGTACTCTCCTCCTGTGCTCATATTTACTAAATGCATAGTGGTTTCACTAGTAATCACTCCCATGTTTTCTCTCCCAGCCAGAATTGTGAAAATAGAAATAGCTACTGAATATTTTAAAAACCAAAGGTTATCAGGTCTCTCACAGAATATAAATTCTAGGACAGAATGATTTTGACAGTTTCACTGAAGAACCAGCATCTTCTCATAGAAGTAAAGGCTCCTTTTATAAAAATATGCTTAATTCACTGACTAAAGACAGCCCTCCAATCTCATGTACCAAGGAGAATTCATATTACAAATATTACAGAGAAAGCAAAAGTTCAAAGTTTTGAATGTGCACTGACTAGGAGAGATGAAAATAGGGATACTGAAAAATGACCATTCTGTATGCATACATGTATATATATTCCTATACATGAAAAACAATTGGAAGGTGAAATAAGTTAATAAGACAGATTTATACATTTTTGTAAACCTTAAATGAAACTACAAACCATTAATCTTAGCAACCAAATTTCAGAAGGAAGCAAAATATTCTCATGAAACAAAAACACCTTGCCCTTGTTTCTAAATGTGAAATTTGTGGATCAAAAGATACAGTATTTATTTTAAAACTTATGTAAAACCAATATTTAAATAGGAATCATATGGTACCTGATGGGTCGATTTTCTTTACTATCAAAGAGTGAAAAGATTACTTCCAGTTCCTCTCCCAGATTGGAGCACATTAAACTCTTCATCTGAACAAAAAGATGGTGGCTGCTAGCTGGAACTGGTGTGTCTTTTTTTCGATGGCGATGTTCCATCTAAAAACACCACAAAAACACTGACCAGTTTGAGTCAATTATAAAATTCTCAAAACAAAAAGAGGTAAAATATGTAATGCAGAACTACTTTCTTAATTCAAATTAGTATCTTTTAAAATTTAATATTAGCTTGTATTTTTTCTTTTCTTTTTTTTTTTTTTTTTCCTTCTGCATCTGAAGAAAAACACAGGGAATTTACTTTCCCAGTGTTACACTTCATCACAGTCATCTTTAGAAGAAAAACAGTAATCTCTGGAACTTTATCTTTTTGTACTCTGAAAGTAGTCAGAGTCACTTTAAAGCTTTGTGCTATAACAACATAGTAGTCCTTAGTTGGTTTAAACAGTCAGTGATCTGACACTCCAGTATTCAAACACATTAAAAAATGCCTTTGCACAAACTAAATATCAGTATTTTAACCTGGGAAGAAGCAATCATACCCACATTTTATGATCTCTGGCAAACTGCTTCATACCAGCTAATAAATTGTCTTGATTTGACTTCACAGTTTATACCTTCTGCACTTCAGTTACCCATTAAGAGAAGCACAGTATTAAGTTGTACTATCCCTCTCTTACATTGTAACAAAAATAATTTAAAACAGAAATCTTTCTAAGCTACATAGCCTTTATACTGAGGTTATCTTTTTTCCCACTTTTTATTTTTCAAAGTACACTCCATGAGTGAGTGCCATTACTAGTTTTCTGGGTTATTTTTCCTCTGCATATTTCTTCTTATAATTAATGGTACCTCACCATATTTCATCTAGTGCTTCAACAGGATTCCATAATATTATATATGACTTTGAAATCATTCAAAGCTATACTGATTCTAGCACAAGGAGTTTACTGTTAGGTTTGACATTGCAAGTCACCAGTAAAATACAAGTTAAAAATTATTTTAAAAATACATAATTATTTCAGATCCACAAAATCTTGTAGCAATGATGCTTTTGGGGAAGTTGTATTTAAATACAAAAGTTATCATAAATAAAATTCAGTTTAAATACAAGCTTTGTCTTAAGCACATAAAGCTCAGAACTGTGTAACAGCTGCAATACTTAAACATGAGCCAAAGCCTACATAAATGAATTGGCAATTTTTCTTAGATCTTGCTGGAAATTTAATCAGAATAAGAAATATCAGTGCTGGTTTTAGTAAATCAAGATGGGCTTTTACACCCAAAGGAAAGCTTTTTTATGCAATTTAACTGCTATTTACATTAATATATTACAAAGTACCAAGAGCCCAGTATGATTAATTGTGACAATATTATACCATTATTATATTTCCACAAAGCTTATCTAGACAGGCTCAAGAGCCAGGTAAAGCTCTAATGATAAGGAGTCCCATAAGCTTTTATTGATGATTAAATTCATTTTAACAGTCAAAATTTTAACGGTATATCAGAAACCAAAACTTTTAACAAATGACATTTAAGCTAAGCATGTGTGCACACACAAAGCTGATATAAAAGAATCCCACACAGATGTAGAGATGATATACCTGTTAAAAAAAACATTCTTTCCTTATTGTAAAATTCATTACATTATGAAATGCCAACTGATTGGATCAAAAATCAAAATTGGTACTTTTGGTTAACTAGAAAAGAGTGACCATCAAACTATGTAATTTGGTAGCAAAAGTACCAAATATTACATTCACATACCAGCCTGTAGAGCTCTGTAATGCTGATGTCTTCAGGATCCACCATAGCATACTCTTTTCTTGGAACTAAGTCAAGCCCCAGCTGTCTGTACGAGAAATGGAACAACATTAAGTAGCTTCTACTTTCAAAAGAAACAAATTAACTCTGCATGTGTTTGTTGTTCATTACAATAAACGATGCACACATTAATTGTTACTCTACAATTAGTTGACTTTGGTTTTGTTTTGATGTGTTTTGGCTGTATCCACCATTCACATTTGACTCATTACCTTTCTCCAGTTTGCAACATTAATAGAATGTTTTCTCACAATTTTTCATCTGTTTCACACTGCGGACAATGTGTAATGTCCTTCATATTATCGTGAACATTTCAGTGTGAATGCACTAGTACTGTCAATTTGAATAACAACCATGGAAAGGAAGATAAAAAGAAAATCTATCAAAAGCCAAAACACCAGCTTATTTTAAGTTTGGACTGGATGGTATCAAAGTTGGTTGCCTGTATCCCCTGAACAAAATAAGGAAATGAGCTTGAATCAACACGAATACAATTTATTTTCAGCACAGCAGCAAGCAATAATGTTTAAGAACACATAAGGACATGAAGGCAGTCATGCTGAATTTAGGAAAATTCACAAGATTAGAAAGTTTTTCAAAAATATGTTTTAAAGAGCAGGAACTGTCCATGTCAAAAACCTTCACAATTAATTCCATCCAGTTTCTGAAAAATTCAAAGCAGACATGTAATCATACACATTTAGTCACAACCCTTTCACTCTGTTAGGTACTTATGCTTTCAGACAGCTGTAGAAACCCTGGAAATTCAACTAATTCTACTATGGAATATTGCTCCCTTTAGTTAGCATTTAGCTGTATAAATATATGCTAAAGAGACTGGAAGCAGCACCTAAATGCCAGAAAGTGGTTTTTTCTTGCTTAAAAAAAAGTAAGATAATACAATTTGTGTTAGCTCATTTCAGTTATTCAGATTAAAGAAAGATGCAGAGCACAGTAGCTGGATGTATATTAGAGATGCCCAAGCAGGAACTAAGTTAAAACCAAGTGTGACCAAGTTAAAACAGAAGCGATGTCAACCAACATAGTTTCAGTTAGAGCACAAAGCTATGCTAAATCCATCATCCAGTTACCATGTGTATTAAAAAGATGTAAAATGCTGCTTCAGATTTTTGAATCAATTGGAACCAATGCAATTCTCTTATAGATAGTACTACTGCTATGCAAATTTCACTGATATAAAAAAGCAGAATAAAACAATAAGCAACATTTCACTGTCAAAACATAAGTGGACATAAAAATAATGAAGGAGAAAGTCCATTAAAAAAAAAGGTAACGCTAGTTAGGAATTCGTTCTTTAGTTCAGCATTCTACAATCAGCCTAAAGAACTGGCTTTACAACTTCAACACATTAAATTTATCTATATTCACACTCACTCGTTGCCCCAGTCCAGACGAGCAGTGATGTGTCGCTTGACATCCTTCATTCGATCATGGGTGAGGTGGCCAACAAGGACCTGCCTGCGCAGGTCCAGGATTTCATTCATTATGTGCCACAGCCGGTGAAAGAGATCCCCCTCATTCCTCTGTGAGATAAAAATATGATTGCCTCTATGTCACCTGTATAAGCTGGCAATCCAAATAAATACACTCATGATGAGGAAATTAGGAAAGCTATTTTTTGCCCTTACTTAGTCTTCTATCCCATTGTGACCATTTTACCTGCATGTGAGTGTGTGCATATAAAATAATTTCAGACCTTGCCACAGACCTTGTCTCTGCACCACACCCATTCCAATATTCCAGTCCAACTCCTTCTGTCTCTCTCACACTAAATTAATCTAATGTACATTACAGGTATGAACAAAAATTCAACAAAAAATATTCATGTGTTTCACGACAAAGCATTGGTTTGTTCCAAGAGCATGTTCATTCTGTGCTGCTGTCTCATCCAAACTGAATATATCATCTGTATTTCAAGACTATCTGAACTCATACACATAAGAGATAGAAAAAGCAATAGCTCTGAGCATTCAAACTCTGAACCACAGTGTGAATTTCTTTTAACCTTCCCTTGCATTGATATAACTCTACACACTACCTAATCATAAATAAATAGTATCACGTAGACAGAATCTTGTCCAGACAGTTCTTCTTTATCTAACTGTGAAGTAGGAGAAATTATGTGAATATGACTGCTTTGAAACCACATCCTCCTACTCTAATTATATACCAGCTAAGGGCATAACAATTTCCCATAAATGAACCTCTGTTCTGGAAGAATCTATTAACCCTTCCTTTACTAATTTCTAAGTAGTTTTACATAGTATTTTTGAGAACCTTTAGCCTGAAAAAATTACTACAACCTTCATCTAAGTGATTCATCACACGAAGTTGAACAAAAACTCCTATTAAGATTTGTTCTGTTAATTCTTGCCAAAAACCCTAAGCACATTTCCCTTCTCCTTCTTCTTATGAATGAAAGGCATACAAATAAAGTCCAGCTACTTCTGCTGTGTAAGTTAAACTTAAAATTCATTTACAAGTATCATTATTCTCCATCAACAACTTTTATATTCCAAGCACTTTGAAAAATTGCAATTTGATACATCTGCTCTTTTTACTTTACGCTCATTCACTTCAGAAGCTCGCTAAAAGGGCATTAATTTATTGTTTGTCTTGGCTTTCAGTGTGATAAGGAAGCAAACCAGGGTAATTCCGAACATGCAATAACAACAGCAGTGAAGAAAAATGTTTCCAAAAAGAGAAACAACTGCTGTAACAACAAGAGGGAAATTTGAACATTATAAGTAAAAGAAAACCAAGGGAAAAAATGGTCATAGAAAGAGCTCTTGAATTAGAGACAAGAGACAAAAAGGAATTAGTAGGAACTTTATAGAGTATGCTTTCACAATTTTCCATTAGATGCTGGTACATACAGCTTTCATTTCTGCAGTCAAAAAACCTAATTGAATAATCAGTAATTCAGGTGCATCTTTGGTCCTGCTATCTGATAAGTCCTACTGAAGTACATTATTATTATTCATGTGAATCCAAGAGACATTCTAGTAACACTATGAAGCTCAAAATAAAATTTCAAGGTATTAATAAAAGAATTAAAAAGAAACTGAATGTGATGGGTTTTTTTCTGAAATATATACTTCAACTAAACCAGAGCATTTAAACAAAAGTGCACCTTTTGAGATGACATTAAATTAAATCAATATTATTCAGGGTACTTGCCACATAGAGTTGTTTCCACATAGTTCCCCAGTCTCTTAGAGTTGATGTCATTTCTGTAATAACAGAATCTTCTGTTGGAATAACCATTTCAAATTGTCTGTAACATGCAGAAGAACACATGATATGGCACAAGCATTACTAATCCCATTGCAGTTACTAACATGTAGACTTCCTACTGCCAGCAGTGATGTCTGTCAACCGATACGAGCGCTCCTTCAGACCATTACACTTTTTATTTATTTATTGCATCCCCATGGAAAAACTTTGGGTGAAAATAGTTTCATCCCCACACAAAGCCTTGGCCCTAGAGAAGTCAAGGTGAGTTGTTTTCACTATGAGATAAGCATATCAAAAACTACTTTCACAGCAGAATAAATCCCATAGTTTCCAAAGGGATCTTGACACTTCAGATTTTCATGCCTGGATTACTTTTTTCATGATATCTTGTCTCTCTTACTAAATTAACATAACAATGTGACAGCTCTTGGCCATGATGTGCAGCAGGGAATATAGCCTGAATGAGAAACAACCTACAAAAGGAAATTGTTGCAACAAAGATTGAACTCCATGCAAGTACTGTCATGGTTTCCCCTAGCAAAAATTATTCTGCTTTTAAATTTTATTTTATTGTCATGGCTTACAATTCTGTTTCATTGAACCTTCAGTTTTAGCTACAGCTTTAAAAGGAGGAAAGGACCCTAGAGCATGACAAACCACATGTGGCTCTAACTTCATAGTGGACAACAGGAAGTTTAACAGTACTGTGAGGACATTTTCACCTGTGAGAATTAAACTTCTTTTAGTATTATTACAGTCTTCCTCATTATTTCTAACCATCATGAACAATGCACTCACTCATGTTCCCAAAACAAAGACCACTTCATGTTCAGGCATGCATCTATTACGAGAAATGCCCTTACCAAACTGTTTTGTATCAGCTCTCTACTAATAAACACAAATAAAGGATACAGTATCAACAATTACAAAGTAACTAAAACTGAAAAAACTCTTAACCTAAGATCACTGAAAACTTTTAAGTTTTAAATTTTTAAAAGTGATACCATCAAGGTAAGTTGTACACATACAAAAAATTTAAAAAAAAAAAAAAAATCAAAAAATCAAAAAATCAGTTTTTTAAGTCAGACAATGTGAATTCCAGAACAAAATTTTAAAACTAATTTTAACCAATGGCTCTGCTTTTTATCAGCTCTTCTAAATGTGAAAACATATCAGCTGTTGTCAAAAATAAATATTGGCTGTCCATCACCTGAAGAAAAGAAGTAAAGGAAAAAGCTTCTCTATTCATTTACAGGTTTAGCAAAATCTTTTGCCATTAAACTGATACATTATTTTACCCATTTTTTTGTAAAATGGAAACTGTCTACCACACTAGAGCTACTGCCCACAAATAAAACAGCTATTTTAATTTAACAGCAGGTTAAAAGACAGCTTATGGACAGAATAATTTCTTCAAATTAAGGCAGTGCCATTTTCAAGCCAAACTTAACATAATTGTTTTCCCTTTTCTCTAGACAATGCAGAATGATATTTCCAATTGCATTCAGTGTCTTTTCTGGATACAGCATTCCAATTTTATGCCCATGCAGGAATATCAGGTTAGCTCAAGACAACCATTTGAAGTCCTCAGGCAGTAAGCTGAAGATATCATAACATAACTAAATTATTTACTTTATAAGCAAAAGATTTTTGGTGCAACTAACTGACCGTGTTTAAATATTTGAAATCAGAACATTTCACACATACCCTTTGTTCTTAACACATGCATTCTTCAAGTGAATGTAGTTAGATGGAAATATGCCCTGAAAAATAAAAAAGTTTAGGGAAAAACAGTCCCCTTACATGAGTTTGGCATTCCATTTAGTATCATTCAATATGCAAATGAATGCTGAATTCAAAGTCTTACAAATAATTAACAAACACAAACAAGGAAAGAATGCAATAAATACTCAGTATAGCTCTATCAGAAACTAAAATGCCATGTTCAATAGAGTTTAAATTGTTCAACACTTCAGAAAATTAGAAGATAAATGCATGTAGAACATGCAGAAGATTGAGAGCTCCCTTATGGCAGATGGTTTTATTCATTTTTCCCACCTTGAAAAGAAACAGACCAGCTGTGGGAGATAATGCCTTATCAATCCCATCTTAAAAATAAGGATTTTCAAACAGGGATTTTTAAAATGAAGCAGAGTAAATGAAGTTAACAATATTGAATTAAAAGAAAGTCAAGTAAATAAAGAAAATCAAAATAGAGTCTACTTTGCTGGCTACTCTGCCTGCAGTGCACAGGAAAGTTGTGGTAGATGCTTATCAAAGAGCCCATATCCGCCAGGAGCAGCCCTTTTCCAGTTGTTGAAGGGCACCATTCTCTTGAACACGCAGCATTGCTGCCACAGTCCTACTGCTCTTACAGCACACTGACCTTCACAAATCAGAACCAGCAAAATGAAGCAAGTCAGCTCCAAGCTTCTGGCTGGGAAAATAATACACTACAGCTCAAGCAGTGACAGAAAACACATATACTGTCTCCATAACAAGCACAGCTGCTTACAGCTTTCCTTCTTAATGATGGGGTCCCATTTTCTTCTCACACAGCCATTAGGCCTTCGAAAAAACCAAACCTACTATGTAGAGGCAACTGTCCTCTTAAATGCATCTACTCTTCTGTAATGCAAAGTAGCTCAGGGGAGCATGTCCCAGGGACAGTAGGAGCCAGAGCACAGGTGTGACAGCGTGTCAGGGGACAGGACAGTCCTTATGGCATATGCACCCTCACTGCAGACCTGCTGCCACAGGGAACTTCCTCCAGGGTCAAAACTGCCAGAATAACACGGCAAGAATCTTCACAGAGCAATACCAACAGCAAGAGGAGTTACAAGGTGCTCTTAGGATTCTACTTTTGGAGAGACTCCCTTCAAAAATCCAATTCAGAAAACTGTTTGCATTCACACTAGGAAAACAGAGAATATATATCTCATCTCTTCACACATCAAGTCATGTTTAGAAAACCTATTCATAACTTCCATCACACATTTGACAGACCACAAAGCAAGACTGACAGCAAGCATGTGGTGAGAATTGCAACAAAAGACACAAAAGATGCAATAGCAAACCACAACTGCTGATGTCTTTTAAATCAAACTGTAACACACATCGATGAGGTAAAAGTAGTAAACATCATAGTAGACTCTGTGGCTAAATTTATTGTTTGCATCGACCTTCCATATAAAGAAAGGAAATTTTCTATGATTAGAGATCACAGGCCTTGGTACAAATGGCCAAGGACTCGATATGAGCCCCTAGAAACTTTTGAAATTAATGTGTGTGTGCCTTTTTTTGAAGCTGAAGAATCTGGGAAATGAGGACAGACAAGGAAGAGCAAAGCTTACAATGTAGGTTAAAAGATCAATAGGTAATTTAAGATCTTTCTTTCCCATGAAAAACAAAATCTGCACAATCCCAGAGGCAAGACAAGAGGATAGGTTAAGAAAATAGAAAAATAAAACAAGTAAAACTTAAACATACAACACAAACAGACACTGAAACATAAATTTCAGTAACTTTTCATGTCTGAATGCCGAAGAAATAAATCAGTGAAGTCTGGTTTAGAATACTATGCTACTACAGAAACCAAAGACTACACATCAAAGAAAACCAAAATGAACCATATATTTTACGTGACAACACATATCTTTTATTCAATTGATACTCTGCGTGTGGCTCCTATAAACTGGCTGTCTCCACTGGCTGCTCTAAATTAATTCACAGCATCAAGAAAAACAGACGCAGTTTAAACAACTTTTCCAACAGTGTTTACAGTTTGTATTCTCAGTATCTCTTCCCTTCAACTTAGCTTCCTCTGAGTGGAAAATCTAAAATTTTGAAATGAAAGAAAATTCACCACAGCCCTAGATTTGTAAAATGTATTATCCTAATACATAGAAGCATTTCAAAAAGGTAATCCATGTCCAAATCTAATTAAAGTAGTACCAGTAATATACTTAACACTAAGCTCTGGTTTTCTCTTAAGAGTAAATATCATACACTTACAAGCAGATTATTAACTTTTAAAAAGTAAATATACATTTTTGCCCAAGAATGCAAAACTGCAATTGACCTTTACCTTAACATTGGGGTTTTTTAAGGCAAATCCTCTGTACCATCCTGTGAAGAAAGCACATATTGCTTTTTAAAGTGTGCAAATCATTTACATATGTAAAACAGATTTCATCTTTCCCTTTTGGACAGATATGACAATTTCACAGTGCTGTCAGACTATATTAATTCAAAAGATTTTTCCATACAGTATAAGGTATTTTCCATACAGTTCATATTTGGATGACTTCATTCACACAGTTTCAGGAATTACTCTTTAACCCTGTACCCCTAAATGTTTCTAACAATGTAACCTAGTTAAATTCTGCATTGGACACCACACTGGTCAAAACAGTTTCTTACTTACTCAAAATATTTGCAAATCATTTCTGGACTTCAGGTTCTCCATCTATCAACTACAATGCTATATGAAATTCATAATTTACCTGATTAAACAGAATAGATCCTATGCCTTCTAAAAGAACATTTCTTACAAGCTTCACCATATATGATCCTGATACGATATTAAAAAAAAACAACCTATATGATCCTAAATTGTAAAAAAATAATTTAAAATTATTTTAAAAATCAATGTGCTGAGTTTTATGTGTTAAGGAGGCAGATTATGAAAAGAAAATGCAACTTTCTCTGACACTAACAACAGACATTTGCTAAAATTATTTTTGCATTCTCTAAGGCAAAACAGAGGTAGAAGAGAATGCTTACTCTGCTTCAAGATTCAAAGCTGTGAATTTGAATTAATTTGAAAATGTCTTGATGGCAGCCAGGTTTCCCTCAGAAATACCAAGAAAGCAGAAGAATCATGAGAGACTTCCTTTCTTTTATAACACTTATCCTCTGTAAATGTTTATTAGACAGAGAGATTAAATAAAAATCAATGTACTGCAAATTAATTATTATAGAGATTAGAGTTCACTGGAGCTGTGGGAAAAAAATTAAGAGGCCAATATGTATTACATTATTGACTTCAAAAATGTGTTACTTTAAGAAAATAAATGAATATTAATGGGGTTCAAACCATGAATACACAAAACTTAAAATTATCACTGGAATCACCTGTGAACTCACCATCACATTTCTCTAATATTTGAACGGTGTCTCCGATCTCCAGTGATAGGCCATGTGGGACCGTCCCTCGAAAACCAGCAATTACTGAAAAATATAGTATGTTTCAATTATTTGCAACATTAAAATACAAATTAATATTTCTACTATTTAACAAAATAGTCTTTTACCATGAGAAGTTGTATCTTAACACAAACAGGCTTACTCAAATTTAATAAAGTGTGAAAAAAGTCAAAAGAAAGAATCATTAAGCCAATTTTACAAGCAGAAAATTCAAAGCACAGGACTCAGAAAAAAACCTAGGCACAGCCTTACGATGCCTGAATGGAAAGCCTGTCCTGGAGAACACTATTAGCTGGATCATAAGTACCCCGAAGGACAGAAAGCGTTTTATTCCAAATGCTTACACTAACATGCATCAGATCTCAGAATTCCGCGAGCTGAAAGTGCCAATATGTGCCAATATTTTTGGTGCCATCCATACCACTCACACACCATGAAAAGCAAACCTTATTTCACATTTGCTTAATGGATGCTATAGACCCAGCACTCCATGTATCCCAAATGTGAGGAAATGGTTGGGGGGTGGAGACCACTAAAGCATGTTGTTCACTCCAGTACATCAAGTGCACACTGAGCTTCCCCTGCAGCTTCACCAAAGCCATTGAAGGGAGGTCATGAGCTCAGGCTGGGACAAGAGCTACAGAAATGGAGCTGGAGAGAAAACATGCTGCAGAAACTAAACATCCAGCAGAGCAGTGATGTTCCCAAATACTTACAGCGGCCAAATATTAAGTCTTATATTGTTACTTCTAAAACAATAGACTGATATTTTTTCACTCAGAATCAAAACAGAATATCCAAAAGCCACTCAAAGAGCTCACTCCTAAAAATGCTAAAAATCCATTAACGTGCTAAATAGCAATTCAATATTCAATTCTGTTCTTACTGTACTTGAAATGCTGAATTAAAATATTGCCTAGTTCAGGCCATGAGACCAAGCAATAGTGCTTTTGATTTTCTGTATTGTAATCTTCCAGAGCTTAATTTTGAAATGGAAAACAGCAAATCCACAAGGGCATGATGCACAAAAAAACTCTGTAGCCTAACAGCAGTCTTACTGATGTTAAATATCTACCCATCTAGACAAGAAACCCCAAATCTCATACAAAAAAAAAGAAAGCCCACTGAGAGGCAAGACAAGAAAACTTCACACATAAAAGCCAAGAGGATATGCATATATGCAAGGACATATATAAGCTCTTGCCTGCTGTTGGAGGTCTACCCTGCCACAAGCAGACACTACACTCAAACACAGCATAACCTGTCATCCACCATCTGTGCCTGCCACACTGCTCATCAAAGGCAGCAGGAGAGATTAGCTGTCAGCAACCACAGAAACTGAAAATTCATTTGTGAATCTTCAGAAGAAAGTTTCAGATTTTAAGAGTAAACCAACAGGATGTGGTTTATGCTATAGGATGGCATGACTAAAATTGCACACAGAGTATATTTTTGCCAAATCCTTCTTCAGAATTTGAAGACTTCAAAACTCAATGTATTCACTCATCACTTCACTCATGAGATCATCACTGTGCTTAACCCACAGTCTTTATCCCTTTGAAAAAATCCTGTGAGAGTATATCCCTGGACAGTCTCTAAATGCTTGATACATGAGATCAGTATTTACAGTACTGAACCTCCTCAAGAATGTGTATTGAACCAACCTCCATTTGTCTTGGTGCTACTCCCACTCTTCCATTTTTTTACACTGAACTGAATACTGTGAGGGATGCAGCATGAACTAAAAAGCTACTTTGGTTCCTCACCATGATCAAGTACACCATTGTTAAAGCAGCTTAATAGCAAGACAGCATTAGTACAGTGAGAAAGTTTGTCTAAGAGTTGGAAAAAAACAAGAATTTTTCAATTAATTCTTTTACAAGGATCTGAAAATTAACACAGTTTATAAACTACGAAGAAATATAAATAAAAAGGAAACTCCTTGCATATCAATGTAATGTACATCTAAATTCTGCTGTGGCACTGGAATGACAGAAATCACTCTGGTCACTTTTCTAGTTTGAAAGAAGCAAAATTTAAATATGAAGCCTGCCAAAATGGCATGTACAGCAACCAAAATAAAATTAAGGAATTAACTGAAAGAAGTATGCAAAACCAAACCCTCATCTGTTATTACAGTCGTGAGATACCTTATTTTTAAACTCCATGAAATAAAATACGACAGTAATTTTCTCCTTAAGAGCCAATATATCGTGTCACAGTGTTATGATTTGACTTTTCTGTGACATTTCCCGTTTTTATTATTTAGTTACTAGAGTTGTTAAAGAGCTTTTTCTTTTTCTCTTCTTTTTTCATATATGTTTAAAAAAAAAGCTTTCAGAACAAAAAAAAAAAAGATTTAAATCTGACACAGTGCAGAAAATAGCTAGAAATCATTTTAGAGCATGTATAGAAGAACAAAATTATACCTTGAAATACCTTCTAGAAGGATAGCATGCAGAGAACCAAAAAAAGAAAGAAAGAAACAAGGGCATCATCTTTACCTCTGAGCACATTCACCTGATACACTTGAAAAACTCTCCCTGGATTCTTGTGGAGCAAGGTCAGGCTCAAAGCAGGTAGCCTGTGGTGTTTAGCAGTGCTGATCAAAGTGAAATAAAGAGCATTGCAGAGCAGCAGAAGATTTAATGAAAAGCACAGGAATGCACAGATAAACTTACCTCACAAATGTTTACTTTGCAATAATCAAGTCATGCTACAGAACTGGGACTGACACAGAAGGCGGCCATCGGGACAACCAATAACAACAGATGAGGGCTGAAGTACTCAACGTTTTTGCCTTGGTCTTCAATGGCAACCTCTCTTCCCACACTTCTGGAGTGAATGGGCAGCAAGACAGGGACTGGGGGAGCAAAGTCCTTCACTCTCAATGTCAGGTTCATAACCACCTGAGAAACCTGAATGCATGTAAGTGAATGGGGACCTGATGAGGTACATCCCAGAATCCTGAGGGAATTGGCTGATGTAGTAATAGACTATTTACAAGAGCATGTAGCAGCGATAGGACAAAGGGGAATGGCTTCAAACTGAAGGACTGTAGGTTTAGTTCACATAATAGAAAAAATTCTTTACTATGAGGGTGGTGAGGCACTGGAACAGGTTGGCCAGAGAAGTTGTGGACGTGGATTCCTGTGAGCACTTAAGACAAGGTTTTGAATGGAGCTCTGAGCAACTTGGTCTAGTGAAAGTGTCCCTGCCCACAGCAGTGGGATTGAAACAAGATGATTTTTAAGGTCCCTTCCAATCCTTCTATGATTCTGTAGATTCTATAGAACGCTATAAAATCTACAGATTCTTCTATTCTATGATTCATGTCTTTTTAGTTTATCTGTGCTGTATATACATAAATTGACTACAGGAAGGATAACAGTTAAGGCATGTAAGGAGGTAGCTGCTGTTCCACCAGGAAGATCCCAGGATTCAGCTAGGACATGGGGTTCTTAAGCAAGCCACAATATAAATTTAATGTACTAAATGTCTCATCCTCTTCTCCAGTGACCACGCTGTTCTGCAAAAACAGATGGTCCTTAATTCTTTCTTCTAGTAGTGGAAGTATATAATTAATCACTCTGCAGTGACCATGGCTTAAAGTATTCTCAAGCTAATTTAAGAGCAGTACATATTTATCATACTCATAGAAATAGACTTTTTTTATATACAGCATTCAATGGCCCATAGGCATCATAGAAGTCTCATTTTAATTCTTCTAACAACAGTAGCTGTTGTGACTATCACTTTCTCTCTCTTCAATTGCAACTGTATACCAGAGACCTTGAAAAGGAAGATGGACAGGAGAAGAAAAATCTATTCTGAATACAGATCATTTACCAATACCTGCAGTCATTGCAGATGGACTGTCACATGCACATCCCCAGGAGTTATGTATCAAAACCACATTTAGATATATTTTCTGTCATTGTAGTAGCTGAAGGTCAGATAAATGTCCTTTTCAAGCACAGGAGCAGTGATTGATATCCTCTTCAATCACCTCTTGGCCACCGGAGAAATATGGAACTCCACAATAAAAATTTGCAGCAGGATATGTCCTCAGAAATATTTTAGAAACTGACTTCAAATACTGTAGCCAGCTGGCTTTATTAAATATTTTCTGGCTGCCAAAGGATGCTCAGAGAATCAGAAAGCAAGACAACAACACAGGATACAAAAACACAAACTATACAGAAGGTGAAATCATATGGTGAGACATGCAATATTAAAGCAACTTCAGTTTCAGTTTGGTTTGCTTTGCTCCTAAGTTCAGCTTCTCAAAACAAAGTTCATCTTTGTGTTCTCATTCAAAACCCCTGGTTGGATGTGCTCACTGTTGGACAGTTTTGCATACGAAAGTGCCTGGTGTGTGAAAAGATCCATCCAAGCCCAAGGTTAAGCCAATCTTAATTAAAGCTTAAACTAAGTGGGGGGGTTATGGTGCAGCTTCTGCTCATCTACAGCACTGATAGCATTGCTGCCCTGTAAACTGAAACAAGGTATTTTTCTGCTTGCAACACTAGTGTATACAAGCCTCACCTGCAAGTTAGCATTACAAAGAGGATTTGAGACACCCACAGCAAGCTGGTTTCATGGCTGGCTTGACTATGTTTTCAAGATGAAAATGTCTCCCCACAAAGGGTATGGCATGACATGGTGCTCAAGCTGCCCTTGTCACAAGTTAGAATTAAGGTCAACAGCACGAAAGGAGACACACATTACATTCAGTTCTGGGTTGTGTGGCAGGACATACACCCCCATATGAGGGGATAAAAAGTCATATCTACAGCAACTACTTGATGTTCAAAAATGAGCACTTGTATGACAAAAGCATGCTTGGGTTTCACATAATAAAAAACAGTCCTTCAAGTGAAGAGAGAAGAGTGGGAAAAGGATGACAGATAGAAGAAGACAAATTACTGCAATAATTAATTATTACTTGGCCGTATTCTGCATGCAAAGTGCTTGAGTGAAAAATC